CGCCAGTTGAAGAAGACTTCTGCAGCTAGGGTTGGGAACAGATACTCAGGCAAAGCCTTTTTCCCCTCTCACCCCACAAACGTCCCTGCTTGACATCTCTGCCTCTCCCCATTGCCTACCTTCCTTGATTTATTCTGACTACGGGGTTAGAGAGGTGCCCGCGTTCCTGGGGCTTTGGGGAAGATGCGTAGATCACGCATGGTCTCTGCCTCTAGGAAGGGATGAGCACTTAAGACCCCACAGCCAAGAATTACCCCGGAGTAAGGCAAGTGCTGCACCTGGCGGCTGGGGGTGGGGGGTGGAGGGCGAGGGGCGGATGTGAACAAGCAGAATGAGAAGGGCTGAGGGTTTTCCTAGGAAATCAGGGCCCCGGGCTAACCATTCAGGAGCCAGGAGCCCCTCCTCCCCGGCAAAGGCTCTTGGAAAGGCTGAGTTGAAAACATGCAATTGGAGGGGATTCGGCGTAAGCCACATGCTCTCTCTTGTGGTCAGAAAGGGAATTGCGCCCTCAGACGGAGGCTGTCGTAGCAGGCGTTGTGTGATTAATTCACCCAATCACTTCCCAGGCTTCGTAGTTTTTGTGACTCAGTGCAGGTCTGTATTGTGGAAAATCCCAAAGTGAAGTGAAAGTTCAGGAACTGGCAGTCCAGGTGACCTTTCTGGAGAGGGAAGGGAAATGTTCACAAGAACCCTGGCTAGGAAGCAGGTCCCAGGCTTCCGAATGCCACCTTGGGCCATGGGGCTTGTTAAGCCTCAGCCTGCATGGGCCACTCCCCAAGCCTCACATTCAACCGGGCTGGGGGAATCTGGGTACGTGGTGGTTTTGAAAAGCCCTCCAGGTTCAGACCTGATAAAGCCTCACATTTCACAAGGAGGGAGACCTTTGAAGAAGGGTCAGTGAGAGGAAGTGACTCATCCAGAGCAGTTGGAATTTCCCTCTGAGGGTGGCAGGCTGGATGGTCCTCTGTATGGAACATTCTACAACATTCTAGAAACGTGACCCTTCTCCAGTGCTCTTTCTTGCTTCTCCTAGGGTGGGCCACCGGTCTGGAATACCCTCTCTTCCTGTTTGCCTTGCTGCTACATCCAAGGGGCTTTGGAAGCCCCCCTCCTCCCGAAAGCCCCCATGGCTGGACCTGCCCCAGTTGTGCTTATTTCTCCCACCCTAGAGAGGGAGTTCAAGTGTGTGCCCCTATCTCCTGCGTGGAAAAACTGAATTCCGTTTAAGGGTTTGGCCAACACATTTTCCCTGTCACCAGTGAGTCCCCATTTGGAGTGGGGTATCACAAGGACTTGGTGCTGGGTTGTAAGTCACCAGTCCTTTCCCTGCGTGGCTCCTGTTCTCCTCCCACCTCCGGGTCTTCCCTCTCTCCCCTTGGCTCTCCAAACCCACAGGAGGTCAGCGGGGAGTCCACCCCTGCCCCGTGCTCCCTGTCCTTTGGATGTCCGTGTGGTAGGAAGAGCCCTAGAAGGGGAGCCAGAGCCCTGAATTTTGTCTGGCTCTGACGCAGACTGGCCATGTCACTCCAGACAAGCCATGGCCTTTCTTAGAGCCTCAGTTTCCCCTTCTGTGAATTGAAGATGGTCTGTTTTGCTCTCTAAAGACCCTTCTCTGCTCAAGCCTTCTGTGTAGGCAGGTTGGTGGTTTTCAGGGACTGAGGGCAGTGGATTAAGACAAAGAGCTTAATTCCCAAGTGGAGCGGGGTCCATCCTGTCTCTGGCCCCCAAACACGCCGTGCTCATTTCCTGCTCCGATAGCTTGGTTCTCATGCTGGTTTTCCCCTCCTCTCCCTCAACAGCTTGCAGGCCCAGTTGAGAAAGCCAGACACTAGGTGGTGCCAGAATCCCACCATCCCTCCAGCTTGAGCGGCCTTTGAGTGAAGGGAGGGAGAGGGAAGGCGGGCTCCTTCCTGAATGCAGAAACTCCCAGAGGCCTCCCTGCATGGCCTCGACCTTGGACTCACAGCAAAGATGGCATTAGGAGTCCGGCACTGGTAGGAGGAGCGACCTGGCAGCATCTCAGGCTGAGGCTGCCCTGGTGGGTCCCTACCTGCGTGTTCGGGGGCTGGAGCAAGTTTAACAATGGTCTCACTCTCACTGTCTGTTCCCTGGCCCCAGGCCCTGGGATTAACCAAGTCTCCAAATAGGTGGCCCCAAGAGTGGAAAGACGTGGCCTGAGCTTAGTACCAGGAGGGGGCTGGGAAGAGGGCTGGCTCCTTCAGGACACGTGCGGAGGCCCAGCACCAGGCCCCCCAGACCTAGCCACCCTGGCCCAGGGTGTACATGTGGAAAATGGCAGAGCACACGAATGTGGCCACATACAGGCCCATCTGGGTAGCCTGGGACCTCTCCGAAGCAACTTCTAGGCAGAGTCACCGGGATCCCAACAGCAGCGCCTCATGGGTATCCAACAGGCCCATCGCTTTGATCCTGGGGGTCTTTCACACTTCCCAGGCATATAAGAGACAGGCTGAGGCCTCTGTCCCCAGGGCTCCGGCCAGTTCAGGGGGTGTGAGGAGTGGCTTGCAGATGACAACACTGAACTTCTTGCTTTTACAGGCAGACAGGTGCCTGAGCAATTAATAGAAAAACAAGTGAGACCCAGCTGTATTTGTACTTGAACGTGGAGAGGCGGATGGTTGACAAAGGAGGGAGACAGGCAGGCAGGCGAGGGAAGCAGTGATCTCTGATGCTGGCTTTATTATGAGCATGAGCTGGCATGGGACAGGAGGTGGCAATGCCCACCTGGGGGTCACATTGAGCCTGGAGCTTCCCTCAGCCCAAGCGCTGGCAGTGACAATGACAAAGGTCTACAGCCCAGGGAAGACGGGAAGATGCCAAAGGCAGGGGCATGCCTGGCTTTCCAGCTGGCCCCAGGGCAGCGGGTGGCACAGCCAAGGCTGAGAAGACAAAGGCAGAACAGGGCTGGGTGGGTGGCAGCAGGGGCCAGGGTTTTACATTCTCCTTGTCCATCTCACTTTTCTCCAGGGCTCCTCTGTGATCTCCTGTAGCACACACTCCATGCCAGGCCCTTGACAATCATTTTAAACACACAATGAGTGACAGACCACCTGGCTGATGTGTGGATGACCCTAAAATTCTTCCCTACCCAGTCCAGGAGCCAGAACCCCTCCCCGTTGCTCCCAAGCCTGCCCTGCCCTCCCCTTCCCCCAGGCTCTCCTAGCGTACCTGCTGTTACAGCTCATCGTCAGTGATTTGCCTTGAGTAGGGAAGGAAAAGCCACAGGTGAGGTGGTGGGTAGGTCTAGGGATCCCTGAGGCTGGGGACCCTTCCACAGCCACAGAGACAAAATCTTCAGCCCGCCCTTCCTTCCCTGGACCCAACCCCCTCATCAGTCACTCCAGGCAGCGCTCACCTGCGCTTCTTGTTGCCCCCACAGTGGAATCTTTTGCCTTGAAAAGAAAAAAGGAGATTTGTTTCCATGAACTCATTTTCCAAAGAGACCTTGGAAGACTCCAAATTCTTCTAGTCACTCCTACTTCCCTCCTGCCAGCACCACCGCAGGGCCAGCCACATTTGACTGTCACATTTTATTTTATTTTATTTTATTTTTTGAGACAGGGTCATACTCTGTCACCCAGGCTGGAGTGCAGTGGTGCAATCATAGCTCACTGCAGCCTCAAGCTCCTGGGCTCAAGCAATCCTCCTGCCTCAGCCTCCTAAGTAACTGGGACTATAGGCACACACTGTCATGCTCAGCTGATTTTAAAAAATGTTTTTGGCTCCTGCCTGTAAACCCAGCACTTTGGGAGGCCAAGGTGGGTGGATCACCTGAGGTCAGGAGTTCGAAACCAGCCTGGACAACATGGTGAAACCCCATCTCTACTAGAAAAAATACAAAAATTAGCTGGGCATGGTGGCAGGTGCCTGTAATCCCAGCTACTCCAGAGCCTGAGGCAGGAGAATCACCTGAACCCTGGAGGCGGATGTTGCGGTGAGCTGAGACAGTGCCATTGCACTCCAGCCTGGGTGACAGAAAGAGACTCTGTCTCAAAAAAAACCAAAAAATTTTGTATAGATGGGATCTCACCATATTGATCAGGCTGGTCTTAAACTACTGGTCTCAAGAGATCCTCCTGCCTTGGCCTCCTAATATGCCTGCATTACAGGCATGAGCCACCACGCCCAGCCATCTCTCTCTTTATATAAGGCTGGACCACAGGCTTTCAAGGGCCTAAGTCAGTCAGTCAGCAAACATTTATTGGAGCAGATCCATGGTGGGCTATTGGCATATCAAGAGCAGGAGCAGAGACTGGGCCATCATGGTGTCCCCATCACAGCACTGGGCACAGAGTAGCTGCCCGATGAACAGCTCTCTGGAGAAGGATGGCAGCAAGTCCAAAACAGAGCCCCTTGCTCAGGCCACCTGCCTCCTGTGCCTGTGTGCTCAGCTGCCAACCGGCTCTGCCCTCCGGGAGTTGCCACAGGCAACATGGGAAAATGGGGAGACTGCAGGACTGCGGCCCTAGCCTTAGAATTTCAGAGTCCACAGCTGTGCTTGCTGTAGCTTTTTTTCATGGGTTGTGTTTTCTTGTATTTTTCTTTGGGTTGAACCAAAACAAGTCAATGTGCAGATATTAAGCTCCTGCTGTGTGCCCCTCAGGAGCCTGGGGATATGTAAGGCTCCTTGTCTCTCCCAGAGCACTCCAAGTCTGCACTGAACTATTCTTTTTCTTTCTTTCTTTCTTTCTTTCTTTTCTTTTCTTTTCTTTTCTTTTCTTTTTTTTTTTTTTTTTTTTGAGACTGAGTCTTGCTCTGTTGCCCAGGCTGGAGTGCAGTGGTACGATCTCGATCTCGGCGCACTGCAACCTCCACCTCCCTGGTTCAAGCAATTCCCTTGACTCAGATTCCTGAGTAGCTGGGATTACAGGCGTGCAGTATGCCTGACTAATTTTTTTTGTGTGTGTGTATTTTTAGTAGAGACGGGATTTCACTATGTTGGCCAAGCTGGTCTTGAACTCCTGACCTCAGGCAATCCGCCCACCTCAGCCTCCCAAAGTGCTGGGGTTACAGGCATGAGTCATTGCACTCCGCCTGCACGGGACCATCTTAAAGTACTGTCCTGACTGCTGTGTCTCTGGAGGTTAGCCCTGATCTTTGTGAGGCAGGTGGGATCATCCCTATTGAACGGATGAGTTTGGGACCCATGGTTAGCAGCGGCAGGTGCAGTCCCCCTTCTGGCCCTCGGGTTACTCTGCAGCTTCCTTCCTGCGACCGCAGCTCCTCCTAGGCCCACTGGAGGGTGCACTTGAGCAAGCAGGAACCTCACATTGTGCTTGAGAGCCTGGCATCCCACCCAGCATGGGTTCCCCCATCCTGCAGGGGCGGAGGTGGTGGGGAGGCTCACCCCTCCCTTGGGGACTCTGGAAAGCCAGCCTGCTCAGCAGCCTTAAGAAGAGATGTGCCCCAGCCAGCACCCCTTCCTTGGAGGCCACCCCACTTACTGAAGATGATGAGGAGCCCCACGATGAAGGCCAGCCCGGCGAAGATCAGGCCCCCTTTGCGGACAGTCTCATAGTCTCAGGAAAGAGAGGGCAAGAGGGGCGGCATGGGTGGTCTCTCCCAGCAGCGGCTTCTCCCCGAAGCCCACCCCCAGCAGCCCATGTTAACCAGGGGAGGTAAGGGGCACAGAGTGTGGACCCGGGGCTGGGAGAAGCCGCTGCTTGGTGGGAGGGGTCCTGAGTGCTCGGGAAGGGTGCACAGGGGCCCAGGCTTACCGTAGTAGAACGGGTCCACGTCCGCCTTGGGGCTGCCACCTAGAAGAGAACCAGAGGTGGGAGGAGAGGAGTCACTGACGGGCCAGCACAGAAGCAGTTGGAATTCCCCATCCTTCCCTTCCCAGAGGATCCCTCAGGGTCCAAGTGGTGAGGGGAGGCTGGGCTCGGGGGTGTTGCCTAAACCTTTGCCTGCGGGCTTCTGCCCTAGGCGGCTTCAGACACAGTCAACTGGGGAGAAAACACCGAGTGTCCGAGGGGGATCCGTGCTGTCTGGGGGGCCTCTGACACTTGAGAGGGCTGGCTCTCTCCTGCTCCTTGCTTCCCACCATGGTAGAAAAGGCCAGGAGAGGCCTCTCCCATTAGACTCCCAGCGGCCTCTCTCCACAGAACCAATTGGCTATGAGGTGCTTAGGAGGTATTTGTGAAATGTATGAATAAATAAAACAAAACCTTAAAGTTATCAGACAGAAGGTGGAAGCCAAGCCCACCACGGAGACTTATCCAAAGTCCCACTGAAAGCTGAGAAAGGCCTGCTCTCCTACGTTCCCATCCTCAGGGGAAGCAGATCTAGTTAAGAAACATTAATATATGGTGCTGCTCAGGCACGGGGCAAAAGCTAACAAAACCCTAACTCCTCTAACCATGACGGCAACCTTATGAGGCGTCAGTGCCATTTCAGTGGAATCCCTGTGAGAATGGAAGCACAGAGAAGCTAAGTAATTCCCCCACAGTTACACAGCAAGTCAGGCGTAGAGCTGGGGTTTGAACCCGGGCAGCAGGGGGCTGAGAATGCTGGTGCGTAAGCTCTTAGCTCTGCCACCTCTCAATGGCAGGAAGGAAGGAGCCCATTTGAGGCAAGGTCCTGCCCCTGCCTCCAGTGGGCTCCCCTGGATTTGGAGTTACTCAGCAGGTGGGTCTCACAGTGGTGCCCTGCAGCTGAAGACACTTGCCCCGGACAGCCAGCCTGTGGCCTGGCCAGGACGCTTCTGCCACCACTGAGGGCTGCCCCTCTTTCCTTCCCTGCTGGAGCCCCTTCTTGTACCAGGGAAGTAAAACCCGAGGAGGAAGGAATAAACAAGTCAGCCCCTCCCAGGCTGTGCTGAACTGTGCCCTGGGCAGTGATGAGCCTCGGGGCCTGGCAAGCCCCACTGTCCCCAGTGGCCAGTCCCTCGGCCAGGAGGGAACAGGCAGGAGGAGTCGGTGCCCATCCTGGCAGGCCTGAGGTGCTGGGTGTTCAGGGAGGCCATGAGGGACCCAGCTCCGGTACAGAAGGCCTTCAGGGCCATCTTCCCAGATTTGGTTCAGGCCTTGTTCAAAGTCATATGGGAATTTAAGTGTCAGAGCAACAGCCAGGGCTTCCCCTCACACCCCAGGAAACCCCCTCCTCCATGGCCACCTTGCCCTGAGCCGCTTGCTGAGGCCCTCCCTGCCCAGCACCCTTCCCTTTCTGCATCTGGCTCAAAACCCACCTCTGTCAGCAGGCACCCCTCTTGGGTCCAGTCAGTTCCTGTCACGGGAAGCCTTTGGGGAGTGTGACTTGAACTTGGGGGCCGCTCATACCAAATCCAGCCAAGGAAGACTGACCAAAGGCGCCTGCTCCTTTCCCAGCCAGATGGACCCCGTCTCTCTCCTGCCTGAGTTCAGAGGGTTTAGCAAGATGCATTGAACTCAGCCGGGGGGGTGTGTCAGGAGGCCGAGGGGGGACACTCAGCTCTCCAGCTTCTATCTGCTGAAGCTGTCTTTCTTCGGTGTTAAAGCAGCGTCCTCTTTTAAGTTGCAAATTTTCTTAGAGAGGAGCCTGACCGGAAGGGGGCTGGGTACTCTGGAAGGCTGAAGTGGCAGGAGAGGGAAGAGGGGGGTCCAGCTGTCCCTACCAAGGCAGGCCAAGCAGAGCCACCCAGCCTTGCACACACCGGGCACACACCAGCACACTCACCATCGCCCGTAGACAGTCCGGTCATTTCCCCAGAAAAATGGACTGCCTCCCCTCCCCTCTTCCTGCTGTCTCTGCTTTTGGGAGAGTGTCTGGTAGCCTCCGCGGGGTGGCCCGAGACGAGGTGGGGGCATTAAACATTAACAGTGCCAGGTAATATTTACCCTGGTTACAAGAAAAGCTGCAGCGTGCATGGAGGGGGCTCCTGCCGCAGGGTGAAGAGGTGCGTGGGGAGGCAGGGGAGGGAAGGAGCTGGCTTCCAAAGGAAATTTCCAAAGAGAAGGGCTGGGATGGGTGAGCAGTGGTGCCTTCTGCCAGCTGGAGAAGCCACAGCTGGGGTGGTGGAAACAGGGAAGTGGAAGTTGCACAATTTGTATAGTGTACACGGTACTTGGAAGCTTCCGGGGGCCAGTGTCAGGGGTCCCACAGTGGCCCCCAGCCCCATCAGGGCCCACCACACCAGCCATCGTGGATGCCACCACTGCAGCTGGTGTTCCTTATGTGGCACTGGAGGCTTTCCTACAGTGGTCCCTAGGAGCCTGGCCCACTGCTCCCCCACCACAGCCCTGGAGCACCCCTAAACCCACCAGCAGTTGACCCACCAGAAAAGCCCTTCATCTGTCATCCTATTCACCCATCGATGTGCACCCCGCAGCTTACACCTCAGTTGGAAGGGCCCCAGTCATCCCAACTAATCCCTCCTTCTCTGCCGCCACCCCCCTCCCGGGCACTTCCTCCTACCACCATTTGGCCTGGCCCTCCGGCTGTTTCCTTGCCAGTTTACCATGGCGCATGCAGGCTTTCTAAGGACGGGGCGAGGTTTTCATCACAGGCAGAACCCCCTGCTTTTATGGTTTACCAAGCACTTTCCTCACTCTTGTCTCCTAAGTTTTATGTTTCCCATTTTACTGATGAGGCAGGTGTGTAAGGCACAGAGAGGTCGAGGCCTTGCCCAAGGTCACACAGCCAGTGCGGGGCAAGGGGAGGCTGACAGGCCTCCTGCTGCAGGAGGCAGGTGCTTTCCACACCTCGCAGGCAGCCTTCCCGCTCCCCTGTGAGCTCCTTCTCCCCAGGATTCCTGTGCCGGGTAGTCGTGGGTGTTGTGGAATCCTGGTTGAGTTCTAGTCCACTGAATTGGCCTCCAGAAGAGGCTGAAGTCCAACGGCCGCCAAACAGCCAAGGTCAGTGGCCAGGGGCCACCAGGGGTGCTTGAGCCCTTCTGAAGGGAGTCAGTCTATCTATGAATCCTCCCCAAGCAGGGAGAGGGCTCGGCACTTGAGTTCACACCCTGAACCTCTCACTTGCTAATCGTATGGTCTCAGTCAATTATTTCACCTCTCTGTGCCTCAGTCTCTTCATCTGTAAAATGGGCACAGTACCCAGCTCCTAGGGTGGTTGTGAGGCGAAGTGAGATCATGCATGCCAAGAGCACAGCCTGGGGCCTGGCGCACAGTGAGTGGCATCATTGTTACTGTTATATGTGTGCTGGCTGAAGAAATAACAGGCATTAGCCTTTGTTAGATGTTTGTTTTTGGACACGGAAAAGCCAGCTGCCGTCCAATGAAAATGAGCATGAATGAGTGAGATGGAGGGAATGTCAGAACCCTGCAGATGAGGCGCTTCAACACCCTTTCAGCTTCCTCTGCTTTCAGAGCCAAGAAATGTATATGTGTGCAAACATCACAGCAGAGCCAGCATTTGGTGAAGACGGACCACATGGCAGGCTCTTCGCCAGCACAGCACCACTTAATTCCTGATAGCGCCTTTTTACAGATAAAGAAACTGAGGCCGCTCATTTGCTGTCCGCAATAGCCTCTCGAGGTGGCCAGGGCAGTGCCGTGATCCCCACTGGGTACACAGAAAAAGCAAGGACAGGAAGGTGAAGGGACTTGCCTGAAACACACAGTCAATGGCAAACCAGAGGTGGAAAGCCCAGACCCTCCAAGATGTGCTGCCAAAGCTACTGCCGACTCCACACCAGACAAGGGTGCTCCCTTTATGATACAGGATCGCGTTATCTTACTGCGTTGTCTATATTTGTAAGCCAACATGGAGCGTTTCAGGAATAATAAGAGATGTAAAAATAGGTGGGAAGTTAAATACATTCATCTCTCTCTCTCTCTCTCTCTCTCTCTCTCTCTCTCTCTCTCCATCTATCTATGTATCCGTTGACAACCCAGTCATTTCCACAGCCCAATGGATTGCCTCCCCTCCCCTCTTCCTGCTGTCTCTGCTTCTGGGAGTGTCTGGCCTCCTCAGCGGGGTGGCTGGGGACAAGTTGGGGGCATTAAACATTAACAGTGCCAGGTAATATTTACCCTGATCACAAGAAAAGCTGCAGTGCGGATGGAGGGCTCCCGCTGCAGGGTGAGGAGGCAGCTACAGATCAGCAGATTAGATAGATAGATGATAGATAGATAGATAGATAGATAGATAGATAGATAGATGATAGATAAATGATAGATGATTGATAGATGATAGAAGATAGATAGATAAATGATAGATGATGATAGATAGATGATAGATATGGATGATAGATTAATCAATAGATAGGTGAATAGGAAGCAATAGGAAAAGCTAATTGATGTCTGCATTTTTAAACTCTGTACAAGGCACTGTTTCAAGCAGTTTACAGAAATCAATTTAGTCATCACAATGACTCTATAAGATAAGGAAGGTATTATAATCACCCCATTTCATAGAGGAAGAAACTGAGGCCCAGGTAAGTTAAATAACTTGCCAGAGTTCAGACAGCTAGAAAGTAGGGGAACCAAGATTTGCAGCCAGCAGTCTGGCTTCTGAGTTCCTGCATCTCTGAAGAACAGATGGACAGACAAGCAAATGAGGCTGCTGGACAAGCTGCCTTCTCAGCCCTCGCAGCTCCAGAGATGCTTGGCACACGTCACAGCAGGCCCACAACTCTGTGTGGAGATGCTGTTTGTTGGAAATTTCTGCCTGTCCTCCTTTCTGCTTTTCCTGCACTTCTGGGGAGCTTGAAAGGGATGGGGTGCACACCTGTGTCAGAGCCTGAGCAGGGAGGAGGAATGGGGCTCAGAGGACTCACCCAGGTACCACCTGTCCATGGCAGGAGCTGCTGCCTGTGTCTGGGGTGCAGGAGAGCGGGGAGGTGCCGCTTGCCTGGGACCTGGACGGAAAGAGTGGCACTCCCTCCCCTCACACCTCAGGTGATCCCACAAACAGGAAGAGACGAGGGCAGGGAGGAGGGCTGGCAAGGGAGCCCTTACCTCGTGCCCGCCTGCTGGGGTGGGTTGGGGTGAGGGATCCACGTGAAAGCCAGGAGAGATTCTCTGACCTCCACCTGGCACGTGAGGAAGGGGAAGCTGTCAGATGCAGCAGAGCAAACCGCCGCCCCTGCCCCGGCCCTCTCCCTTGAGGGGCTCCATGCTGTAGCCAGCTCAGGGTGCCCGAAAAGGGTACAGGAGCCAGGAGAAATCAAGGACCCCACTCTTCCCCAGGTCCCTGGGCTGGTGGAGACTGAGGGAGACCTTCAGGGGCATGTGTGGGTCCCCTGAGCTTCACTCAGCTGTACCTCTGTCTTCCAGCCCAGCTGCGCCTTTGCCTGGAGTCATCCTGCACCAGGCCCCGCTCCATAGCTAGGCGTCCCCTGAGACCGGGCGGCACAGCTGCAGCCTCTCAGAGAGGCAGGAATGGTTTCCAGGGTCCTGTCCTGGGACCTGAGGCACAGGTCCCAGCTTCCTGTGTTGTTCTGGTAGTTGGCAGAGAGATGGGGAGCAGCTGCGGGCTGGAGCCAGAGCCGTGATGGGGGTCACTCTTGTGCCTTTCCCTTTCCTAAGCTGGGACCTCCTCATTCAGCCCGCAGGTGTCAGGCCCGCCTGCCACACCTCAGAGGGCTCAGCCGGAGACACCAGCAGCCTAATGAGGCCTCTGGGGGCTGCTGGTTTGTACCAGAGTGGAACGGCCGGAAGACAACCGTGGAGCCAGGAGCCAGCCGGGAGCCACAGGAAGGCCCACACACCACACTGCCCGGTCAGCATCCCTGTTTCCTGGCCACCAAGGCCTGGCCCACAGCAAAGCCGCAGTGAACAGTCTCCGTGTGACTGACTTGGGGCCACAGGGTCTCCCTCAGTTTCCTGTGGCCACCCTGGCACTCTGACGTGGACACTGAGAAGCAGAGCTGGGAGGCGCTGGCTCTGGCCCCGGCCTCTGACCCTGGGCTCTGGTTACTCTGACTCCCACCTCTCTGTCCCTCCTTTGCAACACTCCCTGTCCGGAGGGGAGGACTCATGACACCCCAGGGAGCCCCCTTAGGACTGAAGCACTGTGGACATGGAGATCAAGAGGCCTGGAGAGGTGCTATTTGTTATCAGGATGGGCTGAGATCTGCACTGGGGCCGCTGACCACAGCTCTGACTCCAGGCTCCCTGCACCTTTCCTTCCGGACCACCCGGAAGGCAGGGCCAGACCTGCCCACGGGTGGGCAAGAGCTCAGCTGTCAGGCTTGTCCCATGCTCCCACGTGAAAACCTGCCACTCAGCCCAGAGCCGCCAGGTGGAAATTCCCCAAGCTGGGGATAGAGATGTTTACAAACCTCAGGCCTAGGTGAGATGTAGCAGTACTTGATCTAAACATAATCTAAATGGTCAGAAAAGTGGAAATCCCAGCTCCCCCCAACCTGGTATACACACTCCGTTCCCTTCCCACCCCCAATGCTGCTGCGAAGGAAGGCATCTCCATACCAGACATCCAGAGCCCTGTGTGACTGATGGCCCGACCACAAAGGTCACCGAGGCCATCCTATCCAAACCCCTCCCTTCACAAGTGGCTCCCTCTCCTGCTCAAAATCCTCAGACAGAGGGTGCAGACGATATCCAAAATCCTTTCTGTGTCCCAGAAAGAAGCCCCTCTTAATCTGGCTCCAGGCACTTCTGAACTGGTCCCCAACCTCCCCACCCTGCTCTCTGCTCCAGTCATGCTGGTCTTCTAGACGCCCCTCACCCTCTAAGACCTCCGCCCGGGCTGTTCCTGCTTGCTAAATGCTCTGCCTCCGCAGGGCTTCCAGCTCAGCTCACGCTGCCTGCAGGGCTTTCTTGAAAGCCCCGATTCTGGGCATCCGGATAGAAAATGTTCACCCCACCGCCTCAGCCTGGCTTTTCCTCTGCGGCACTTATTCTGATCTAAAGTATGTATTTCCTTGATCTTGTTCGTCCCTCTCCCAAGTACAATTTGAGCACCAGGAGAGCCAGGATTTCTGTTTGTTTGTTCATTCCCCAGTGTCTGAAACAGCTCATCGTGACACAGTTTTATTAAATGAATGAATCAGACCCGAAAAGGTGGAATCATTTCTCCCATGCTGCAGGCAGACCCAGGACCTGCCTCAGGCAGTCCCGTTCCCTGCTGTCATCTGCTCTGTGAGGGGTCACAAGACCCGGTTTGCCCTCACAGAGGCAGCAGGTAGCCAGCAACCCCATCTTGCTGACAGCTCCCCGAGAGACCCTCTCAGGAGAAGGGGGTTCTCTCTCACTTCCCTGGCATCCCATCCCTCTCCATCTCCTCTCCCCTCCCCTGCCCTCCCCTTCCTTCTCCAGCCCTGTAGCAATTTTCAGAAATTGTCCTGTTTGTTCTTGGGGGAAGCGCAGGCACTTGTTAAGTCAAGGCGGTCCTCCCCTCTCGCTTCACTCAAGCCTAAGTCTTTCCTCAGACTTCTTCCTGTCCTCCCCCAGCCGGCTCAGGTCATGGGTCCTAGTTGGCACTGGGGGCAGGGAGCCCCTCTCTGAAACACCTGCTCTCCTGCTGGGAGGTCCCGGCCCTTCCCTCTGTGACCCATGATCCTGAGAGCAGCTCAGCTCAGGAGGGTCCCTCCTCCTAGAAGTCTCCGTGCAGGGCACCCTGAGGACCAGACACACCCATGCGTGAATCCCTTTACATCCTGAGCCTTTGCTGAGGACTGCCTGAGCCTGGGGAAGGGCACCCCTCTGGGTCTCCCTGCATCTGTAAAATGGGGTAATAACACCTACCTTGCAGGATTGTTGTGGGAACAGAGATGAGGTAAGTCAAGCATTTGGCCAGAGAAGGTCCTAAAAACTGATGGCTGCATTTTCCTTACTCTGAACTGCCCCCTGCCCACCCCAGGAGACAAGAACACTCTCAGCAATCCCTTCCCTTGGCTCAGTCCCCAGCTGAGGTGATCTCTAAAGCAGGCTCCTGAGAGCACCCTCTGTGCCCGGCATGATGCCTGCTGCCCACCACTCACCCTGCATCTCCAGCCTCCCTTTCTTCTCCACACAAACCCAAGAAACCTCCTTTGTCTGATGGTTCCGGGCTAGAGAGAAAGAAGTATCCAGCTGTGCTCTCCTGATCTCTTCAAGGCCCAGAGCTCTGGGAGACACCGGGAGGGAGGGAGAGGCAGCGCCCACTCCTGGATGCTTCAGCACTGTCACAGCTGATGCCCTCAGTGGCGAGGCCTCCATCTCCCCTGTCTCCCCCAAGCAGGCCTCCCTTTTGTCTCCTACTCCTGAGTCTCAGGGCAGTCATTTAGGGTGGTCATTGCTGGGTTAGTGGAGCAGGGAGGAAATAGGCTGGAATTACTTCTGTCTCCCTGGTGATCAGAGGCAGAGGCTCTCACCACCAGCTTCCCAAAATGGGGCTCTCCAGTTCTGCCGGCTCTGGCCTTTGTGGGAGTTGAACTCCAGGTCCCCAAGTCAGTTTCTCCTGGTGTTAGCTTGGAAAGGGGCTCCAATGAGGCAGAAGCCAGAAGCACCTAGAAAGCCATGGCCCCTGGCCCAAGGCAGTCCTCAGCTGCCCGACCCATATGGCCACTGGGCAGGGAAAGTGGCAGTTCCCAGGCTCCATCTCTCCCGACCCTGAGGAGCTCTGGCTCCCGTCTCCTGCTATGGCTGCAGGTGCCAGGTCACTGGGGTCTTATAAGGCAGGGCTGGAAGGAGGTGGGCCCCAGAGGGTCCATTCCTTAAGTGTTGGCTTCAAGATGGCCTCAGCCATGGTGCGCAGAGGTTCTGAGAACTGCCAAGGGGCAATGTACTCTAAGAGTCAATGTCACCAGCTGGTGACAAGGGCAAACCCATTTGACCACCTCTCCCGCAGTGAATACCCTGGAGAGAAATGCATTCTTGACTGTTCTCAGAGCTCACACCCTTGAACTACAACAGAGGCCGTTTCTCTCCAGCTGTGGTTTTCTCTTCCCAGTAACCAAACTCCCCCCCACCTCTGAAAACAGCTTGCAGCTTGCCACCTCCAGGAAGACCTCATGGAGCAAGCCCACCCCTGGCTACTCTTTTCTTCCCTCCACAACCTTCTGGATGCCACTGACATGGCCTGAATGGCTGGCATGTGGCCGTGTGACCATTCTCTTCTTTTATAGCCCAGATTGCCAAGTTCCTGGCCTTCCTGAGGCCTCAGGTCGGGTAAGCTGTTACATGTTTGTATCTGCACTGAGCCTGGTGCCCACTCTCCACACCTGGCA